TGGCTCTGTAGGCGAACTGCAGGGGGTCCAGGAGTGGGTCTGTGATGGATTTAAGGAGGGACAACATGCTAGTAGATGTAACATAGATGATAATGGATTTATGTGGCCTCTGTTCGTCAGATGGTACACCTTCCTTTTCATGAGTTAAAGGAACAGTACAGGGAGAAAGATTACGCATTTCTATAGTTATTTATCATTTCAATCATTTCTAAAGTCGTCATTCTCTAATAGCAAACAAGACAGATTTCAAGTCCTGCCTCTGCTGACTGCACATCTAAAACTGAAGCACACTGGGAACATGACAACTTATTTCCTGATCATACTGATGAACTGGAAACATAAACTCCAGTGCAGTGAGATCGGGTGGCAGGGCTATCAGGCCTCCAAGACCTTCACAATAAATCTGTTGGAGCTTAGGACATCACAGCTTCCTACTTACAAAATAGTCTAAGCATAAAGAGACTTTCCATTTTTTTCTCCATTAAATAAATATTATGACTCATTTCTTTAGAATGTATAATCTTATAACAATTTGATGTAGTGTATCTTAAAACACATTCCTATGTAATGAAGTGGTTCATTGTGAAATCAAGAGGCAAAGACCAAGGAGTATGAGAAAAAAGAAACATACATAAATCCTGCATCTGGATAGACAGTCATTAATGAGTCATCAATGACAGCACAGACACTGAGTGATGTAGAAAAGGACAATATTTATTTACAAATAGATAACTGAGTGATTTAAAGTTTCTGTAAAAGATTGTCGTACTAAAACTCTGTTCTGTAGCCTTTAACTTGAATTGTACAACAAGTGTGACACAGCGAGCATAAAATACATGCACTTATCTGTTCCTGTCACCAAAATAGATCTGATTACAAAATATAGTGCTCATTATAAACATCTGTGGAGTTCTGTTTCGCCAGCTGACTCACTATTCATATTTCACAAGTTCTGAAAATGCACATTTGAAAATATTCTTCCTCTGGGTGTTTTATATTAAAATAACAGAGCTGCTAAAGCTTAACAAAAATAGACTCCGCAGTCTCTGTCAAAGGGCTCAATGGATAAAACAAAAAGTAAAAGGGGACAGAGGGCAACCCTGGTGTGTTCCTTCTGTAACACGAAAAACATGGGAATTCCAAATTACTAGCACCAGCAGCTAATATGAAGCTTGACACAGAAGAGCGAGCAACATGTGATTCAGTCCAAAAGGTTGATCAATCTTCAAACTGTCAGTACTTCTTAGAGGATTAGGGAAGAAATGTATATTTTAGTTCTGCAGAAAGTGATTGTTTACCGTCAGAAAATAGTGCTCCAAAGAGAAATAACAGCACACATATATTAGTTTGTCAGCCTTTGGTTCGGCATGGGGTCACTTCACAGACAGATAAGGCTGTGGGAGATTTCTAAAACTGATCTTTGGTGCATGTAATGCACCGCGCCCAGTTCCTTTCTGAGTTTGATGTTTTGTGATGCGTTTGCCGTGTTTGTTCTGATGATTCAGAGTCCAATACTGAACAGACTGTGCACCTCTTTTGTTCCTCAGTCTGTCAAAAGTGGAATCAAATCTAAATTTATCATGATTATTTGACTGGTGTAGTTTTTTGACATTTATTTTTTTTAATTAAAGTTACTCTGTATAGCCTTTCAAAATGTCAGAATTTGGTGCCCCCTAGTGGTAGTATCAAAAAACAAACATTGTGGCAGACAGTAATGCACCCCCCTACACCTACAAAAAAAGAACTACACAAAAATCTGTCCCCAGGACACAGAATGAATTCTGAAAGCAACAAAGTGACCTCTAGTTTCACAAACTACTGCTACAGACATACAGAGAGGGGCATTTACAGTGTAAATATCAACTTGTCATAGTCAGTGTTCTCTGGTGGACAAACTGGAACGGAGACACTGTTTCTAATTGACCTCAAACCTAGTTTGCGATTTGTGACGACTTCTTGCCAGAAGGCATGTAAGCTGATATCGGCACACATTGCAGCCTGGCTGATTCAAGAATGACGAAACGTGTCCACATCTTGGTGTCTCATTTCATTAAGTGGCTAAATTAACCAATTCCAATTTGGTGTGCATTAAAATGACAAGACGACCTAAAGATGAGATCTGTTATTGATCATGCCAAATAGATGTGATGAAGGCAGCACAATATGTTGGATTATTCAACAGGACTGTGTGAAACATTAGACCAGTATTCAGTTTATGTCCCTACAGGAACATGAAACACATCATATGGTAGTGACTTAACAGTGATCTCTACTTTCCAATGTCACTATTATATTTTATATCTCTGTCGTTAGCATTGTATTTACATTTGTTTCAATTTCAATGTATCATATAGTAACTTAATTCTGTTGTAACTTCTCAAAAGTAGGTTAAAGTTTTTTCTTCACATATCTCAGTCAAAGAAGCTCAGAGAGAACCATGAGGGGGCAGAAAGAACAAAAACTACCCTGTGGTGAGTCCCCTCTCTCTGCATCCATCTTCTCTATTGGGGCATAATTGTGTAGAAGCTAAAGGAAAAATAAGTTAGAGTGAATTGGTTTCCCAGTGACGGATGACTAATGTCAGACAGGCTGCTAAACAGAAGGGAGAGAGGTCCTCAGTGAGTCCACAGCAGCTCTGCCTCCAACAAAATGCTCTGATGCCCTCTGCTGGCAGCTTCAGGTAGCACTCACATCACAACAGTTCCACTTGTCCACGTTCACTACCTGCCCAGGGTTTGTAAACTGCCATGGATAATTTAACTGGCCAAAACACTTACTATACATATACGGCCGCGTTTCACACACAGACTCTACTCAGTCACACAAAATTGCTCCACAAACTTTGCCCTATCTAGGATTTATTGCTGAAGACCAAACAGCCCACTTCTTATTCACAGTATGAGAATAGCTTATGTGTTTTTGCCATTTTGAGGTCTGACACTCTCAAAAGCACCTCAAATATCACCAGCTATAGCTAAGTTATAAATAGGCTATAAATAAGTTCAACAAGAGGAGTGAGAGGTTATCTAGTCAATCAGTCTGCTCCAGTGAAGAAGCCAGCTCTACAGGTCAGTTGTTTCACAGCAACGACACTGACTGGTTGCGACAATCCCTCCCTCAGCACAAATAACACTTTCAAAGGAAACAGCCAGTGCTGCACAAAAGTCTGGTTAAAACAACGGTCACTGTCCAAACTTAAATGTTGGTCATCAACTAAAGTAAAGTTTTACATCTTGAGTCTCATTTTGTCAGTTCTGGCCATTATTTCCAGCTGGTTATGATGACATTTAATGCCCAACTACATTTCTAAGGTTTGGTGAAGCAGAGTTGCACAAGCCAACCACTGGAGCGATCAGGTTCAATGTCCACAGTTTAACCAGATTATCAAAACCACTTCACCTGACAGCGATCGACCAAACTGTCCTTTATAATAGCCAATCGTGCTGGATCTGACTTTGTTGTTCCATCAGAGGGGGCACTCTGCACTCTGATTTGTTGCATACTCCGTTGCCTTATCAGTAAACTAGGCAAATGTTCTCTGTGGCAGTGTCTTGTAAACAAACAAGGCTTATATTTATATTCAGTGTTTGTCACCAAAATCTCCACAGGTTAGCTTGAAGGCAAAATGGAGGAAACTAGCCGTGTTGAAAGATAACCATGACAACAAACAATGTTACAAGTAATGTAAACAAACGTTTTAGATTTAATCCATAAGTAAAAAAACTGTTAAAAGGTAAGGCTGATTGCTGATAGCTTAAACCCAAGTGAAGCATCATAACATTATTTTGGGGAAAAAAGAGATCAAGGACAGGCGCAAATGGTCATGACAAACTGCCCTGTCCTGTATTCCTTTTACTCTTTCATAGGATACTTACTGCTCATACCCCATCTCAGTGCTTGGACTTGTTTTTCACTACATTAAAATCTAAAAGCTATTAAAAAAGCTGTCATAGAGTCTTGGACACCACATGGAAAGGTCATGACAAATCTTGGCAAAGCAAACAACTTGCCATGGCACGAGCGCAAATTCTGTGCCAAGGGTTTTTGACTGGGAAATTATGCAAATTGTTATGCCATTACAGCAAAAAAACTTTGGTTTCATGCGCAAAATAATGTGGTTAAACTGTGGACTTACTGACTGCACTGAGCTCTGTGTGACTGAGTACAGTGTTATCAGAACGGATGAAAATTATGTTATAAATGGAGTATAATATAGTTTCCCTTTAAGTAGGTCATGTGTCTTCGGCCAATTTCAACTGGTATGTTTATCACATAGTAGAGCCCAACCGATAGATTGGTGTGCCGATATTATCGGCTGATATGAGCTAATTTCAGATAAATCCATATAGGTGTTTATAACAGCTGATGAATGGCAATTGTAAAAATAAATGTCAATTGCATAGTTTGTCCACCAGAGGGCGCTTTACAACTCCCTTGTTAGCAACTAAAGGGTTTGGAATGCCACAAATCTATGGAGCTAAATCAGGGCCAAATGTTTTGTTAATTTGAAATAAAAATTGTAATAGAAAACCTAAAACTTGACATTGAAAACTTAAGTTTTTCTCTTAAATACAACCATGTATTCACCTCTAACTCCTAACCTCTAACATGCACTTCCTGTGCTCTTCTTCTTCTATCCCCTACAATGATCTTGTATTGATTGCACTTTTTGTTAACTCTTACTTCCTTCCCTAGGTATCTACCCTATTGATGTGATATGTACTGTGAGCTCTTACTAGTATTTTGTAGATCTGTATTTGATGCTCTGTTGATGCTTGTATGTTGTTCCTCAAATGTAAGTCGCTTTGGATAAAAGCGTCGGCCAAATGAGTAAATGTAATGTAATCAAAGTAAAAATAAGTGTGCCAACTTTTTTTTCCAAATTAACAAAACATTTGGCCCCGATTTAGCTCCATACAAATCCACCACATCCAGCTGTACTTTGGTTCAAAGTACAACATTAAAGCTTAAGTTAAACTGCATTATGTCTTGTTTTCTTATTGAGGTCTCTTAACTACACATAACAAACGTTAGGGATAATCTTTGTTTGTTATAAGTTTCTGAAAAGAAGGGGGGGGGGGGGTCGTCTTATCAGTCTTAAAAATTCCATACCGGTCGGGCTCTATCACAGAGTATTATCTTTAAAGTTTTTGTAGTAAAGCTGTGCATTGATGTGAACCCTAACCCATTTACTTGTACTGTAAATATACAAGTAGCAGCATGCAACGTAGTGGTTGGCGTATTCTTGCCTCTATTAAATGACACCTGAGTGTTGGAATATTACTTTTCCTTCAACTCAAGGCAATATATAAGTGAAGCACGAGAGCGTGGGAGCAAAAGGCATAATCATAGCTTTTACGTCTACGAATATACTGTGTAAGAGACAGCTAAGAAATTGTGCAACCAAATTTTAATAGTGACTAGTTAGGAAATGTGGACAAGATGCTCAGAATGGATATTTTGGAAGAGAAAAACTCTCAACTGGCACATGAAAACAAGTCTTAGAGGCCATTTTAGGACCTCAAAGTAAAGTTCCTCACTGGAGGTTTAAAACATATAAAAATCTCCAGCTTTAGGACCCAAACATACTCTGTGTAAGGACACAAATGATATAAAACAAACTGACACAGTGAACCTGGGGGCTTTGCAGACCCTTGGGCAGTTGCCCGCTTTGCTCAGTTGGTAATCTAGCCGTGCTCAGAGGTCAGTGCCAACAAGTAAGTTTGTAAAAAGTAAATGACGCAAATTCACAAAGTCTCTTACACATACTGACTTTGCCTCCACAAGCTAAATGTTACAAATGCTGGTGTGACCAGTCCCTTAACATAATTCAGTATCACAGCTAGGGGGTCTACAACCAACAGAATGAAACTGCCTGCTTTAACAGCCCATTTTCACCACTCTGTATGACCCGCTTGAGAAATGATGTATTTTACCTCCCCGAGGACATGTAGTACACCTTAATCATCTGAGTATGTACAACCGTTTGTGTTGGTGTACTTAAATAGAGTATGTTTTAGGCATTATGAACACTGACATCCCCCCCAAGTTATCCCGTCACCCACCTTCACCAACAAAACAACTAACAGCAGTGAAACATGCAGAGGTATATAAATATCGTACAAAATTATTATTGTATCGTACAAAACACTGACCGATTCCAGCAGAACATTTCTCTAAACAGCAGAGTCCTGATGTATGAACACAAAGAAAGTAATCCAGCTGAAATGTCACTTTCAACAACAAGCTCCAAACATTAAAAACGAAATATAGATGATAGTCCTGTACCTATTTCAACATCACACCAACATTTCTGTACTTTACTGCAGCCACAGCAGGATTATTTGCAAAGATGCTAACATCTCTATGAGCCTCTGTAGACCAGAATGCAATGCAGCCATTACACATGTGTGGGTTGTGAGCACTGTCTCTCCAACAACCCTCTATGCTGAAAGCAATGACTTCATGTCTCCCCCAAGAAATGCTCAAAGGCATGAAAGGATCATTCTGGTTTATTATGCCTTGGTCGAGTTCTGTAGGGGCCTAAAATTTTGGAAGCAACCCAGACCTCAACTGAACCCAACTTGTACTGCCGAATTCAAAATACAAAGCTGACCCAAGACCTGAAGATATATATTTTTTAATGGCCCCAACCCGACCTGAACTCCTATGCTTTGTGGAGCCCTGTCCGGTAGAAGAACTCTACAGCTATTCTTATTTTCATAGTTTTCTTCTTTCCTTCTGATTGAAGGTCAAACTGAAGTCTACCTGAAATGTGAAAAAAAATACTCAATTCTGGATTTATTTGGCCAACACCAATATCAACATGTCACCGTTTAAAAGCATCTGGAATTTTGGCCAGTTTTTTTTTAATGTAATTTCTTAACATAACTAAAGATTTGGACACACAATGCAGCAGTAAGGTATGTTAACAGAACAGTTTCACAGCACTGATGGTGAAAAATAGGATGGCATCACAGCCTGTAGCAGTAACAGGCATTAACCTGAAATGACATGCTTGGCGACACCACCAGCGTTTCTGGCGTTGTCTTCAAGTGGCTTACATAGAACAGGGTGCTGCCTTGGGTGAGTACTGCTCTTAAATTGCCTCAAACATATTTGGCATTCTGGAATTTCTTATTCATTCCAGCATACAGAATGCAATAGATCTGTAATAAGCTAAAGTTGGTCAACTATAGAAGCCATTATGATTTGTTGGTGTCGAGTAGTTTCATTGCACATGAAAACCATGTCTGCTAGGGTGGAACCAATTCAGTAATTCCTAAAACCCTAAATACTCCTACACTATTTTCTCGGATGTGATTATTTATATTTTTGTCTTATCTTATCACCTTGGCCTCTTAAATTATGATTGAAAAATAATCTGTAGTTTAACTGATAACTAATAACTACAGGTGCACTCAGTCAGAGATGAATCAGGAAGTGGACTGATGTTTACAACAGACAGTTTGGGTAATAATGTTGCTCTTCCTGTTTGCCTTCTCTTCCACATCATGCTGACTAAACTGGGATTTTGTTTAAAACCTGTTCGACTGGACTTCTGTGTGATGTCTCTTTGTTTCCAGATCGCTGCAATAACTTTTATTATTACTGACAGATATGAGGAAAATCCCGAAAACTTGTAATAAACCAGAATCATCCTTTAAAAAGACGAGACAGGCTGAGTGGTACATCTGTACACCAGAAAGGTACATTATAATGCTCCACCACAAACTGATGAGCTCGATCAGCATAAGAGGATCTGAGGAGGAGGAATTGTCCTTCAGTGTTAGAACTACATTAAAATAATGTATCAGGGTGGCAGCGCAGGCCAAAGATCACATAAACTGTCCTGGACCTGGATGCTCTTGGGGCTCACTCGCAGCAACATAAACCTCCACCTGCTTAAACTCTGTATCAGCTGATCAGCATCAGCTGATTAATTGAAATATGTCATGAAAATGTATTGACATTTCAAGGGTCCATAGACCACAGAACATGGCTACAGATTTCCCCACCTCTCCATGGCAACTTAGCACACATAGCTGTTAGTGCTGTCTGTCCAAACTGGACCTGCCATGACCCCTAAAAAAACAAAACAAAACAAAAAAAAACCCACCCTCAACTGCTTCATCAGTAGTAGGTGATGTGACACCAGCAGAGAAGTGTGTGGGGGCAGGGATCAGGAGAGGCAGAGGGAGCTGGGGGAGAAGGTGAGGGTGCAGACTGGTGTGGGGAGGCCGTAGTAGGAGGGGTCAGTGAAGGGAAAGAGCAAGAGGAGGAAGAGGAGAACCCCCAGCAGGTAGGAGGAGAGGACAGTGAGGCGGTGGGGGTGCTCCATTGCTGCGCTGATGGCGGGAAAACCCATGTAATTACAGAAGGAGTGGCAGAGCACCGGACCCACAAGGTGACCTGAAACACACAGGAAGAGGACAAATTATTGTGCAGCAGGGTGCAGGATGTTCGGTGCATGAGTTTTTCTGTACGACATGTGAGCCGAATGAATGTAAAATGAATGTAAATGCAGACTAATTGTAACCATGTAGCGGTGGTGTGTGGTCCATATGGCAAAACAAATGAGAAACCAGGGTTAGAAGAGCTGCTGGCGTCATTCAGATCTATTGGTTGGGAGTGTTGTGGGTTTTTAAGTTCCAGCAACACTGGACAGTGTGGACACTGGAGAAAATGGTGGATTGGACCAATACTACAGTCCATGTTGTTGAACCAAAGTTGTCTCTGGAAACTAGGGCTGGACAATACAATAATATCAATTAACAATTTAACAAATGTATAAAAAGATGTTTATTTTGTTTAGGATAAAGGAGTAAAAAAGCTTTTACTTAATTATACTCGTGCATATTAATTGTTGACAAAGATTTTATCATAACATCAGATTTGTGAAGAGATCCACTGTTTGGCATCAAGTGTTTGTTCTGACAATAAAGAAAAGTTTAAACCACCATTAACCATCAAGTTTCTTCAACTTTCACTCAGGAGCAAAAATCAGCCTTTAAATTCGAAGGAAATAATGATTTGATACTTATGATTATTATCGGTATCGAATGATCTAAAAATTTTTATTGTGATAAAACTCTTTTCCATATTGTCCATACTGAATATACTGATATTGAAAAAAACTCATTTGAAACAAAATGAAATATTTTAACACCCTGTTGCAAAAGACAGACATAAGAACAAATGTTTTGGTAATCTGTACGTTTTTGTGGGAAAACTTAAACCCTTTAAATTGATTTTAGCTTTATTGGTGTGCAAAACCTATTAGACTGAAGGACTGAACAAAATATACAGTACTGAATGTTGTTCAGAAGTGTAAGATGTAAAAGAAAGCTCCTCACCTGTTCTAATGAAGATGAAGGCAGTATAGGCCCCAAACACGGCTGTGTAGGAGAACTGGAACACTGTTGTAAACCAGAGAAACATGGTTCATCATCGGCCTCTTCCTTGTAATGTATCTTCAACACAGACAGCGTGGCACAGTCACCATAACTGCACTATACTCTGAACGGACAAACAGTTCCTACCTGCAGAGAGGAAAATCCCGGATAGCGTCCCCTGTCTGAACCTCAGCAGCTCGATCACATGGTGGAAGTGAGCTGAAAGAGGAAACAACGTTACAGACTATGTCCTAGATAGCAGTACACAACAAAAACACATAAAACTTCAATTAAAAGCCAAGTCCCAATTAGAAGCCTGGTCTGTTTTTTATAGAAGTTCTTTGGATGTATAAAACCTCTTAAAGCTCACCAGGTCGCCTGCTTGACATAGATCTAAGCTGCCTAGATCGCACATACAGACATAAATGTTAAAACTTTTGTCAGAATGAATACGCTACACATCCTTAGGTCGGTTAGATTCTCCATAATTCAATCATTAAGTTCATTTAACAGATTCAGATTTACTGCAAACAAGAGTGATAAAAAATCCCTAATATTTATTACAAATATTTTCTTAACAGTTGAAATAAACAGTTTGATAGTAGCCTTTTTCCCATCTTTGCAAGAGTTTTGTGCGGAAGGAATTAAAGACACACATCTCAAATATAGGCAGGGTGAGTTCAGTGACTCAAGCAACAAAGTGATAATCTTGCAGAGTGGTGCTCAGAGAACAACCTACTGCTCAAAGTCAGCGAAAACAATGAGATGATCGTTGATTTCAGGAAACAGGATATAAAGACACACACTCCTGTCTCCGTCAGTGGAGCAGGTGAACAGTTTCAGGTTCCTGGGAATCAGCATCACAGAGAACCTGACATGGTCGTCTCACATCTCCACGCTGGTGAAGAAAGCTCAGAAAGGAAGCTTAAGAAGGCCAAATCACTAACATGGGATGTGCACGGCCCAGGACCGGAGGGCTCTGCAGCGGGTGACTAAAACTGCTCAGAAGATCATTGGTACCCATCTCCTGAGCATCAGTGATATCGGTGAGGTGAGGTGCCTGCAGAGCCCAAAGGATACTAAAGGACAGTACCCACCCAGCCACAGCCTGTTCACCCTGCTGCATTCTGGGAAGAGATATAGAAGTTTCTGCTGCCACACCACCAGACTGCAGAGCAGCTTTTCTACCCAAGCTATCAGACTCTAATTCATCATCAGCACTGCTCCACTGATGACAGTTTATTTCTGTTCACCATTTTTGAATTGGTTCTATTATTAATTAATTAATTATCTATAGTATTAATGTATATTGTCAGCTATTTAGAAGAACGGAGTTACAAAACTCAATTTCACCCTATAACCTGTTAATATATATTATAATAAATCTACCTTACCAAATAAAAGCCTGGGCAATTAATTGAGGTTTTACAGTAGAACAGCGTCCTTCTGAGGTGGAGTTTAACACCTGACTGACTCGTTATGTAACGGTATGGGATGCATCAACTCCATCTATTTCTTAGTATCCCTGCTATCATCTGGCCAGTTACCAAACTGACCAAACCAAAGAGCTGACAGCACCCTTACAAAAGGATGTTTGACCAATCATGTTTTATGTCCAAGCCCATTTACAACAGCAAATCATTTTGTTAAATAAGCTGTTGTGTTACTTTTCCAGGCGGCCACTGCTTTGCACAGCACAGAAACAAATCAACAGACTGTTGAAATGTGTTTGAGATGATAAATCCATCACACTGAACATTAAGTTTGCATTAAAGCTGCATGGTCAGTTGCTGACAGCAGCAGTGACATATTGTATTATCACCTTGTAAAGTTGATCTGGCTAACGTGTTAGCCAATTATTGCAGACAGAGAGCAACGTAATCATTCCATTGGACTTGTGTCTGTGTCTGCCTGATGAATGGAGAGTGAATATTTGACTTCCTTTTAGCTCTGCTTGGTCTCCACTAACTCCTGCAAAACAGCTGCTGAGCAGGTGGCGTACAGTGGGTTTATCAGAGCGTTTTCACTTCGAACATCTGCCTGCTCTGCTGGAAACAAGGCTGATGAAAGCAGAGACTGAACCAAAACAGTACAGTTGGGGGCCTTACAACCAAAACAATGAACTCTAAAAAGCTATACATCTCTGTAGAGCTAAAGGGGAACTGCAGAGCTGCTGATAAATCTCTCCGGGGTTGTCACTACAAGTGACACTTTGAGAATTACGCAGTCATTTAATCCATTATTAATATAAAAATACTGATTTAAACATGTTTACATTCTGTAAAACATTGTGAATTAATCTGAAAAGTCAACACAGCATTACCATGCAAAGAACTGACTATACGGCCTAAAGCATGTGGACATGGATGTACACAGCTTTGTGTATTTTTGGTCTGGGTCTTTTTTTTTTTCCTGGTTTGGCTCCTTGGTTCCAGTGAAGGGAAATCTTAATGTTCCAACAACATACAGTGATATTTTAGACACCTGTGTTCTCCCAGCTTTGTGTTTGTCCTGTAACAACATGACAATGCCCACCGTGCACAAAGATATGTTTTATTCCCAGTTTGGTGTGTAACACCTCGACTGGCCTGCACAGAGCCCCGACCCCAATCAATGAACCGGAACACTGACTGCAAACCAGGTCCAACATCAGTGTTGGACCTGACGAAGAGTCTGTTACAGCAGCAGATTATGCCAACATGGTCGTCAACTATCATGTATGTGGGAGGAATGTCCACGTATGTTTGGCCATGTAGTGCATTAAGTTTAAAAACCTTATTTAACCATATTTTTCATACCATATAAAAAACAAATGGCAGCTCGGAATGGAGGGAAACAGCCCTAGAACGATCAAAAACTGCACAGCAAGTATTTGAAATGTGCAATTAAGTTGCTAAAACTTGCAAAACCCTGGTACAGCCCTTGCTTGAAATTAAATATATGCTTATTATACTACTACCCACAGATCAAGTATATGCTGCTGGATTCACAAGGACAAGGTAACATTAAGTCCCTCCTTAGATTTTTAAGGTGGACAGCCTGGAGATAATCTGACACTGGCACAACTCACCTACGCCAAAGAAGAGGGGGCAGGTGAAGATGGCAATGGAAGGACCAGCACAGGGCACCAACATGGGCAGCATGCATGCCCTGAACACCAGCTCCTCTGTTAACGGTGCCACCACCTGATTCCTCAACCAGCGCATGTCACTGAAACACAACATCCAGAACCACGGGTCTGCAGGAACACAGAGACAGAGGAGGAGCTTACTTCCTCTTCCTCTATTGTGGAGAAGGCACTTTATTAAAAGTTCTCAGACATGCTTTACACTGAAAGTCTGTTCAGTGTGGTCGTGGTGGAAACACAAAGTTACAATCCGTCAAGTTGTACCGAGATGTGGATCAAATTTGAAATAGCCCTAACATCCCTCAAGTCATCAGAAAAACGGACAAAATCCAGCATGTTGGTGGTCTCACCAAAGGCCACCTGGATCCCATCCATGAAGCTCCAGGGACAGTCCATCGCCAACTGCATGAGTGGGCCCAGAAACAGGACCTGCAGCACAGGACCACACACAAGACAGGTTCTAAGTTCGGGAAGGAGGTTCGATATGACTGACCGCAGATAACAGCTTATTACTACATCTGATGATTTCTTACATTAAAGCCATGAAAGAAACTTATGACATATTCTTAAAATGTTCAATGTTACTGCATCATTCCTGATCTTTACTGTAACACTTTATTACAGAGCATCAGGAAAGAATTCACAGCGCTTCAATTTTCCCACATTTTGTTATGTTACAGCCTTTTTCCAAAAGGGAAGAAATTCAAATTTACAGCATTTGTAGGGGGCTCTGGCATTAGAGACCTTTATTCCTGCATTCTTGAGAATTTTATGCAGTTCATGGGGCGGCTCGGGAGATAGAGTGGGTTGCCCGTTAATCGTAAGGTCAGCGGTTCAATCCCCGGCTCCTCCAGGCTGCATGTCAAGATATCTATGTCTATTTATGCTCTTAATGCTGAGACTCACCTTCAAATAAGTTATTAGCAAGCAAGGAGCTAATAAGGATAGCTATGTTAACATTAGAATACAGCTGGGTTCTTGAGGTTAGCATGCTGTACATAGCTGGTAGTCAATATTGACTGTTTCTTACCATGGTGAGCAGCAGAGGAAGTACGATGGCAGGAATGAGGCCTTCAAGCCGGATCCCCATGAGGGCCAGTAATGATGGGCCAGTCTGACACACACACACACACACACACACACAGAACTCAGTCAAAAGCCATCTAATGTGTCAGACAGCAACCTGACACAACAGCACATATACAGCCAGTTTAATTCTCAGGTGTTAGAACAGAATGGTGGTCGGTGGTTTCTGAGACGTGGACTCACCCTGACACCTGTGAACGCTCTCCATGCCCACACAAAGAGAGGAGACAGGCCCGACACGATCAGTACACTGGTGAAGCGTCTCTTTATGACAGTGGGATGATCCCTGAAAATTGAGAGAATAATCACACCCTCATCACCAGCACAGAGGACCAGGGAACCAACTCGGGCTACATGCAGTATGTTGTACCAAACTCCATTCAAAAATCTCATCATTTTAATGCTTTTTGGCTTCTCACATCGTATAGAGCATTCGCAGTCAGGGCATTCTCATTTTGGCAAAGCTACGTCCCATCCACCCTGCGCTTAAATACTGACTATTCTTGGCCGGGACCAGTAACTTCCTGGAGTATCTGCTGGTTGCCTGGCAACTGCTCCCAACCAAGCTGAACACGCAAACATGTTAAAAGTGTTTACAGGCAAGCACAGAATAGGTCTTTTTCATAGCAGACATTTTGACTTGTCATACAAGGAAACAAGCAGGTGTAGTAATAACAGATGGCTCGGTTACATTGAAGCGTCCAAGTCAGTCGTGGCAGTGTGACAGTGAGCCAGCATGAACAATACCAGGACCCTGAAACTGAAGCAGCTAAATGGCATTCTGACATCATTTCACATTTGCTTTTTAACCTGTCACATGTAATGTCTTACCCATTCAACCCATATGGTAAATGAAGTTTCAAATAATAAATGAGTCATTAAATAAAGAGCTACCAGCAAATGTATTATTTTTTAGTAAATATGAACAACGGCAGATCTAGATTGTTCTAATCCTGTGGCCCTGTGTCGAAGTCTTTCCTGCTGTGTTTTTCAGTGGCGGCGCACTGCACCGCCTCAAGTAAAAAGCACCTCAGCTTAAGTCAGAAGATTATATGTATGTTCATATACATCCTGTATACACACACACACACACACACACACACACACACACACACACACACACTAGTCTCTCCCTCTAGATAGACAGAGGGACAGAGACACACAGATAGCTTTAACTCAGCAGGTTAGACAGCCTAGTGTATGTGTGTTAGGAAGGTGCTCACAATACAGAATAGAAACCCTGAAGACATGTAACGTTGCTGCTTTACTTTACATTGTGCTCATATGATGCACATAAAGTTGTGCCTGATGAACTGAATACGTTCGTGGATGGTACTTTAATGTAAAACCCACTGAGTGCCTTGCCACAAACTTCTAAATAAAAGTTAGTTACCGTTAGGCTTAAATCGTTTCCGAATGAAGATATACAACTGAACTAACGGTAACTTACGTATTTTAGTGAGGAGCAGTAACGTTAACGTCTCTCACACAGAGAGTATCTATCACCCCGCTGTCTAGGCTCACCTCGGCAGGTCACTCCTCCATACGTACAAACTACCAACATAAGAACAAGCCAGCAGCAGACAGGACAGCACTGACACCCAGCAGAGACCTTCTGGAGGCACGAAGTCGCCATTGCTGTGTTTTATATCCTCTGTCAGAAGGCTGGGTGATAAATCACCCTCCTCTGCCATAACGACTGCCGGCTGAGACTGAACCAAACAACTACTCGGCACCGGGGCGGTTGCTGGACCATCTAACAAGATCAAATATCAACCATTGTAATAACCTCCTCACAAATCATGAGCTAACGTTGCTAGATGTTTAGCTTCTGCGGCGCTCTATAACGACGTCATCATAAGCTGCCTTCTTCTACTTCGAGGTTTCTTCTCTTCTTTAATTTGGCGGACTAGACGCATCTTCGGCGTGTTGCTGCCCCCCACTGACGCTTCTCGCATCTTTGTCAATGTCAGTTGTCTGTTTCATCTTATAAAATCCGGTATTATGTAGATATTCCATCAGTTTCTTCATTTTGTTCCTGCTATCCAGATAAGTAGAGTACGTAGATTGAGGTTTCTGCAGGATCTACAAATGGATTCAAAATATACATATAAACACATCATCATCCACAAATAGAAACACGTATTTGAATGACTGCAAAGTGATGTGTCTGCACCTGCACCTGAGGGCCATATTCTATTTATATATTGTTTCATATTTGTTTTCAGAGTTTTGACTCTACTGTTTCACTGACCCAACTCAAGCTACATGCAGTATATTGTACCAAACTCCATTCAAAATTCTTATCATTTTAATGCTTTTTGGCTTCCAAAAACCAGCACACACCAGCATAAGTGGTCACCAGCATAACCAGCATAATGCATGCTGGTTAAACCAGCAAGACAAGCATGGGACTTATGCTGGTCTATGCTGGTTTTTCCAGCAGGGAGGGCATTCTCATTTTGGCACAGCTACGTCCCATCCACCCTGCGCTTAAATACTGACTATTCTTGGCCGGGACCAGTAACTTCCTGGAGTCTCTGCTGGTTGCCTGGCAACTGCTCCCAACCAAGCTGAACATGCAAACATGTTAAAAGTGTTTACAGGCAAGCACAGAATAGGTCTTTTTCATAGCAGACATTTTGACTTGTCATACAAGGAAACTATAGTAATAAAATATGGCTCGGTTACATTGAAGTGTCCAAGTCAGTCATGGCAGTGTGGCAGTTGATTTCTCGCCTCAAAACTTCTCATTAGTGGATTTAGTGATAAAATGGCATACGAAAATTGTAAAATATAAAACACTGGCTGGCGCACTCAGTGATGATGCAGTGAATGGTGACGATTCTCTCTGACCAATCTGTAGTCTGCTGTGTTTTCACGTCACCTTTTGGTATCGCCTCAGCTCGACTCAGCTTGCTTGAAACCTCGACAGAGGTGATACGAAGCTGGTACCATGCGGTGGAAAAGGGCTTGCCTAGTTTGTGACATTCATTAGAGCAGTTGAGCCTACCTTTTAATTAATTAATCAGTGGTGCTAACTTGACGAGCCCACAGCTCAGTCAAGAATAAACATGCCAAGCTTTTATCACCTTATCACATCAAAAAACTTCAATGAAGCTGACATCATGTTAAATTACGTTACAGTAAGTACAAGCAAAATAGTCTTTTCCTTCAGAAATCATTGCATTTCTGACCATTGTTTTGTCCTGTCTGCTCTGTCACCAGCCGCCACATATTCAACAAACACTGGAAGCTGACCCGGTGTCCACCTTCAGTGTGTTCATGTGGTCTGAAGTTGGATACGCTGGTCCAGTGGATAGCACTGTGGCCTCACAGCAATAAGTTCACAGGTTCAAACCCCGGTTGTGTGGAGTTTGCATGTTCTCCCCATGTCTGTGTGGGTTCTCTCCGGGTGCTCCGGTTTCCCCCACCATCAAAAATAAAGATCTGGGCGCTGTGTGTATGTGACAATAAAGTATGACTTTAATGTGGAATCAACATGAACGCTACTACAAAGATATGTTGGATTAGCATTATCAGAGCATATAAACAACACTCAGACATCTAGTTCACTCTACACGGACAGTAAACTAACTGTTATAACCTGTTACATATTGAATGTTTGCAAAATATGTATGTGCAATCCGTGATTTGCACAGCCTTTCTCTTATACTTCTTTATTTGATACGAATAATGTCCCATATACACTTTATTTCTCTTTTTTCAATAAATATTTAAGGAATAAAAAAAAGATTTTAATAATTCGACAAGACATGAATGCACCATCCGTCACTGCTCGCCTGTCTGCTCTGTGCTAAAGAATACGTGTGGTCCTCCATTTGTTCAAATTTCTCTTCTTACTTCTAATAAACCAGTCGACTACTACTATCTTACTACTACTACTACTACTGTTACTTCTTCTTTTTCTTTGTACACAGTCAACATCGTGACAAACGTAGTTTGTCCGTTTGGGCTACTGTAGAAACATGGTGGTGCAACATGTCTACTTCCATGTAAGAGGACCCGCGGTGTATATAGATAGAAAGAGCTTGTTCTAAGGTAATAAAGACATAACAGTTCATTATGTGAGGTCTTTATATACCACTGAAAACATAGTTATTTATAGTATTTTGTATATCTGTCATTTCTGAGCATTCTTTATTCCATCAAGGTACCATCTTAACTTTATTTTCTCAAGAGCTTTTCCCATCCCAATGCCCCATATATTATAGCTACATGTTTTCATTTGTTTTATCTATGTATCCTGCCATATCTATCCTACCAAAATGTGAATCACAACAATTGTTTCCAATCTGCTTTACCAAAATCCGATCTCATTATCCCATCTATCTGAACCACATTATTCGTATCAAACTTAACTGCAAATAAATAATGATCACTGTCATTACTAGCTAATGACAGTGATAAAATCAGAAATCTGCCCTGCTGCCCCAGCATGCAACAGCAAACAGGATAGCACTGGCCACCACAGACTCATAAAACATCCTCAGCATCGTCCTGCAGATGTTGAAGGACCTCAGCCTCCTCAGAAAATAGAGACGGCTTTGGCCCTTCCTGTAGAGGGCTTGAGTGTTCTTGGCCCAGTCCAGTTTATTGTCCATGTGCACTCCCAGGTATTTGTAATCCTCCACAATTCAATTCAATTCAATTCAATTTTATTTATATAGTGCCAAATCACAACAACAGTTATCTCACAGCGCTTTTCATAAAAGAGCAGGTCACGTTGATAAGATCTAGATATGTTATGACCAAAAGAGCCACCATTTAGCCAATGAATGCTGATGATGGTTTCAACTCTCAACGAGCGTGCATTGCTACTCAAAATAACTTTTTCCAGGATTAACAAATCTAGTCTTTTGATTCACCCCATATTTATACACCGATGGCAGAGACTGCCATGCAAGGTGCCAACTGCACCACAAAATGGATTAAACCGGGTGATTTTTATAGCTTCAGTAATGTCATTTATTTCCATAAATAGCCATAGCTAATTCATTTTCCCATCTGACAGAGCCAGGATGTTTCTTGGTTGTCATGGTTTTCAAGTATTTCTTCATGCCTTTTTCATAACTTATAGTTAGTTTTTTAAAACATACTGCATTACAACAATGACAAGGTGCGCACAAATGGGTGGCATGGTGGATAGCACTGTGGCCTCACAGCAAGAAGTTTGTGAGTTCAAACCCCGATCGTCCCTGCCTTTCTGTGTGTAGTTTGCATGTTCTCCCTGTGTCTGTGTGGGTTTCCTCTACCACCAAAAACATGTTAGGTTCTCCAGTCAATGCTATTGACCAGATGCTGGTAAAGATCTGGAGTTGGGCGCTTCACAGCGGCTGCCCACTGCTCCCTTGAGGGATGGATTAAATGCAGAGAATGAATTTCATATATCATATTGTGTGAAACCTTGTTTTCTAGAGCACAATGTTAGCTAGTCCATATATCATATAATACTGAGATAAACCCTTCTGTAATATCTGTAATTATCACAATAAAACCATTTTTTGCATATAAAAAATAAAAGCATTAAAAAATTATAAATATTTCAGCTTGTGAAGTTTAATTGTAAGGTCAGTGAGCGCCAGCTCAGTTGGCCGAGTTCAAAATTCCAGCTTACACAGAAGATTACTGAAAGACACTTAATATAAATACCAAATACTGATAAGATATCTATAATACCTCTTTAGTTTTATGTGGGCACAGCACAGGGGCCTGCTCATGGAAGTTGAAGTCAGTGTGACATGGTAGGAGGACCCCAACCAACCTGGCAACCAAAAGTTGTTCCTTTTAATGGCTTATTGTAACTGAAATGTTAAGCATTAGTAGGTTGGTTTATTAATTCATTAGTTCGCCTTATAAAATATTTAATACATGGTGTCTTCTTAGAAAGTGGTCCCTTTATTTTTTTGTTAAAGAAGGAAAGGCAACCCATCTTCCAGCCAAGAAAGGTGGAGGGTGGACTCGGACTCTTCCAGTGAAGAATACCCAGTAGCCTAATGCATAGGTGATACTGCATTTAGAAAGAACTAGACTTCTTGAAGGCACCAGCTTTGGAACTCTGAATTTACCAGGATCACTTAAAGGCAACACAATATTCGTGTGACAAGATTTTTTTCTTTCTCGAGCCAGAGAGAGAGAGCGAGAGAAAGAGGGAGGGAGAGACGTAGGCGTGACATCGGGCTGTCTGCTGTTATATCCGGGAGGAATGGACGTGTCTCAGTCTCTCTCAGTCTCCAGTCTAACGTGAACGGAGGAGAGGCGATGCTGCCGCTACTGATGCCCTGCGCTCCTTTGAATTCTTCTTCTTCTTCTCTTGTATTCTCCGACGTTACACTGCCCAGGCTGTACGGGGACTGACAGAACCCGCACACAGAAACACACACCCAGGAGGAATTACTCACATACCCGAGCCGGTCCCGGACCTCCATTGGCAAACATCAGCGGGTACGGGCCTGTTTATCTGATTTGTTCCATCACCTGTCTTTATTACAGCAGCTCCATCCACAAAAGAGCAGATGACAGGAGACGGCAGCTGGCCTGCTGTCTGCTTTACTGCTCTTCTATGGAGGTGATGGGGGTGAAAGTCACCTTTTTATTCGTGGATTGTTGACTTTATCACCTTTATTCAAGATGATGTGAATATTTATGAGGTAGGCCTACATTAATTTGTATGTGGTGTCAAACTGTTGGAAGTGAAGCGGATTTTGTTCTCGTTAGAGTCTGTGAGCCTTCTCATTATTTACCTCTACATCACTGCTGCCTCGGTGTCTGTGAGTGTGTGTGTGTGTGTGAGAGAGAGAGAGAGAGAGAGACAGGGAAATGTGTGTTTGTGCGTAA